TTAGAAAGAAAACCAGTTACAGTGACGTTGGGAAAATGCGTACGAGCCTGTGCGCCGCCGTGTGTTTGATAGAGGAGTTATGTGTATGAAAGAACGGAACGAGAGAGAAACAGACTATTTCGATTATTAATCGTTCATCGTAACGTCTAGGTAAGAGAAATGTTATTAAAGTCGCGATGCACAGGTGTCGCTGTTTCGTTTAATAGAAAATTAGTATTCGCTAGTCCAAAGTGCAAACACAATACCCATGGTAACAATCGAGCAACTCGTTTCACGATAAACGATAAACGTAGGTTATGTATGTTTGGTAAATGTTAGGAACGAGTTGCGCGAAAATTTCCGGATTGGATATGTGGAAGCTTTTGTTACCATCCGTAAAGCTGGAAAATCGCTATCGGATTTTCTGTGTGATAAGTTATATTATTATATGTATATTATGCGTCGAGTGCCATGATGTTGTTCGTACGAACGATCTAAACACAACGTAGAACGATTTCTAGACTTTTACGCAAAGTATAAAGCGGGCCAGAGCGGTAACACATACGGCGAGATTATCAATTTACGTACGTATGTATTACTTCTATGCGAGCCACGTGTATGCATACATACGTACAACGTTTCAATTTTGCCAGTTGAATATTTTCACAGTCGTCGGCTGCGTTGTAAACGCGCGTCACATTATTTTCTACGGTGCCATTGTATCATTTATACTTGTTGCAGCATTCTGTAATAATATCGAATCGCCGTTTCTTAATTTGCGTTGCTATTTTCAAGGAATACCACCGTTGTTCGTGATATCCCCCGAAAAGGATGTTACTTATGGCGAGAGAATAATCTCGGCTTAACCTATTAGACGCGTACATTTTTTTACCTACTTCGAAGAGGCTGAACTTAACGTTCTGAACTGTATATGTGAAAATATGTACGTTGGTAGTGTGCAAACAATTGTAAAAGTGTAACGTACGAGTTGAACGCGTCACTCTGTTCCATTTTCCTTTCTCGATTCTATTTCGTTTCTTGCCATTTCTTTACCTTTATCTCTTTCCTTCTTGATTCTTCGTCGCGAGACCTGAATTACACGCGTTAAATGTTATTTACCTCTATTGTTCCCTTTTTGTTACTGAAAAACGAAACATTTTTTCGTAGAATTTTCAGTAAATGCGTAAAACGCAACGTGGGATTCTGTTGTTGTGTTCATGACCCCATCGAATAAACGGGGTCTTCGATGCTTAAAAGCCTTGCCCAAGTCGTTATCTTCCTCTGTATGTTTAGTAGTCTCGTTTTAGTATGTGTTCCTTCCTTTGAAAACGCGATATCCTTTAGGTAGGTGTAAGTAAATGTGAACAGACAATAATGATCAAGGTTACAAGATTAATATAACCGAGATAACCGAGGAACACGAAAAATATATATACACATATTATATATATATTGTATTAGTGTTATAATAGGTAATAGTTTTTATTCGTTACAAAAAATGCTTTCGTTATGTGGAACATCCGGCAAGGTGCTATTCCGTACTACGCAAATGTTTCAAACATTATATTATTGCGTATGTTACACGTTGATTTCGTAGTCGTTCGTTTCAACAGACACACTTATTAAGGATCGAACCAGCTTTGTACCAGTCTTTTCATTTCGAACGACAAAACGATTTCAGTATGAATGAAAAATGTGATAATAATTATTGTTTGGCAGAGATGACAAACGACGAATTTTCAAAAAGAAAAAAAAAGAAGCGTACATCGATCGTTTGTTCGGTACGTGTGTATTATACGTATCTCTCTTATAGAAATTCTCTCGGTTCTTTAAATATGGTAGGCTGGCTGATCTGTAGTGTTTCGAAATTTATTCGAAAGATCAAAATCTACTTGTCAGTCTGCTGTAGAAATGCAAATAGAGGTCGTAGTGAACATTGAATATAGATCGAGGTCAAAGGAAAGACCAGCTCGAACGATTCAAGATACATACGTATAGAAAGCTCGAGCAAAGATTTTGACGGTCGTGCTGCTTAAACGGTCGAACGGTTGCTTTACTTTTGCATATACGATTACACGGTGCCAAAGGGAAAATTCTGGGTCAACGTTACGAATGTTGCGCGACGAACGATTACCTATTTTGTTATCTTCGCCGTCACTCTTTTCCTATTACACGAACAACCCGACATACGCGTCACATTTTTTCCTTGTGCGTTTCCGCCTACTCGAATATGTTATGTTTCGAAAGATTTGAAATTTATATTTATTATTTTTCGCTATGGTGCCATAAAACATATTGCGTTATTCGTATAATGTATCCTACTTTATTGTACATTCGGATTGTACGGTCATTCGAATAAAATGTTTTTTCATTATTCAACAAATATTTATTATCATTAACCCGTTGAAATATATATGTACGTATACAGTAGTAAGACTTACATGCAAAGCATTTGAAACATACTTTATATGATATATAAAATAGTTATAAAACAAGTAATATCGTATAAAATAATTATTTGAAAAATATAGCGCACGACACAAACACACAGAACAGACACACGCACGCATACACACACCTTCAGTCGTTGTGTTGACAATTTTTCGGCAAGCTTCTCATTTGTTAGCATATATCCAAGAAAACCAAAACTTTTGTCTTAAATCCACTTGTAAATTGTTTCCGTTCAAACACTAAAAAATTGTGCATTGTAATTAGGAAATTTAAGATTTAAGGAAATATATTCTCCGCCGTTCCATCAACCTTCTAGAAATGAAAAATAGGAACTCACGTTTGTTTTGTTGTCGTACTTGAATCGTATTTCGCAATCGTTCAAAAAGACTCGCGAAACGTTAGAAGTTATTCCCCATATTTGTATTTTATGAAGAATTATTTTCTCGTTGAATGAACTTTGCTTTGCTTTCGAACTGGAAAGAGTATTATTCTTGACCGTGAAGAATAACCACGTAAACTGCCCTTTCTCGAACGAATCTATGAATATATATGTATATATATCGAAAGAAGATTAGTCGAAATAATCAAGCGTTGATCGATGGAAAATGATGATAGATGAAATACCTAAACTATCACCATCATCCCAATATAATTCTCCTTTAGCCGTTTTTTCGTCATCTAATGCGATTAATAATTCGAAATTATTTTTTCTACTGTTCGTTGTAGTATCGGCTGGTTTCTGTGCCGGTAAGATAGACCCCCCGCGTATCATCAATGGTATAGTATCGAGCGGTGCATTCAATGTATAATGTAAACCCAATGCAAATATCGGCTCCTTCGTATAAATATTATACCACACTCCGCGTGGCAAATAAGCCGTTACTTCAATCTTGTTCTAAGGGCCCAATTAAACGCCGATAAAATTCATTTCTTATGATAAATAAATAATTGATAAGTTATAAAGTGAACGTACTTCTTCTAAAACTGGAACGATCATCAAAGAGCTTCCCCACAGGAACTGAGTGTCGATATCGTACGTGGATGAATCGTTAGAAAATCTAGAAAACGTTCAATCTTACAACAGTTTACAACAATCAAGCACATGTTGGCTAATACTTACTCGAAAAACAATGGCCGTGCTACAGTTTCTCCAAACTGATGTGCTCGGAAGAATAACGTATACAAATACGGTAGTAACCAATAACGTATCGTAAGAGCACGCTTAGATGACTTTATTACTAAATCGCCCATAGCAACTGGATCTTGTTCCTACGGCAACAAGAAAAGAACACGTTTTACTAGAAACTAAATGGCATCGAATAAAAGATTGATAAATGATCGATACGAACGATCGTATCGTCGGAGTTATGGTTACGAGAAAAGGGATAAAATGCACCAAGTTGCATCCAACGATTGCACAATGGAGTTGTCGTATTTCCATTGAATCCACATATGTCAGCACCAACCATTGGTATTTGATAAAAATTTAACGACAAAAGTGCAGGAATACTCATTTTTAAATCGTGCCTATAATGACGAATGTAACGCGTGAAGTGCGTGTCGATGTTTAACAAATATTTATGATACATTATGCACGTAATATTCATTACCATGTTGAATAAACATCTCCCGTCCAATGACCTGCATAATGTCCGTGACCCACCCAAGTTGCCCGCGATATTATAAATGGTCGTTTTTGCCGGATTTTCTTCAGTGCACTGTATACATTTTACATGATTATATATTTCGCTTTAATTTACAAACTTCATTCACTTCTGCTTACTACTATACTTACTAATTTGTTGCTATCGCGTGACTTGTACCATAAGTATTGTGAAGATCGTAATGGAAACCTAAGTAATGTTTAGCATTCATGCATACAGTTTTCGACGCGAGTATACCTCCGGCAACATTTGGTACATACACTGGATAGTCCAATTTATTTCGTGAACATCCTTGCTTAAGACCATCGTAAAAATTTGATGGCTCGTTCATATCCTGTTGTGATACAAAAAACACAAGAAGCAACGATGAAAATGAAATAGTTGATTTCTTATTTCGTTCTTATTTCGACTAACGAGCTATAAATACATACAATCCAAGCACCATCGTACGCAAAACTGTCATAAGTGTTGTTCATCATACGGAGATAATAGTTTTGCGTTTTAGGATTTGTAAAATCAGGCCATACGGTGGAAACAAAATTCCAAACTTTTCCAACAAATGGCCGACCGGTTGCTTCATCTTTTATGAATATATCATCTTTCACACCTTCGTCATACGGCAAGTAAGTTCCATTACATTCAGAACCAGATACTCCTGCATCGATTAAAGGAATGTAATGCATCCCTCTCTACAATGCAGAAAGTATTATGCGTTGCATCAAAACATTCTTTGAAATAATCGCAAACTCCTACCGAATGAATTTCGTTCACAAATCGTGGCAAATCCTTGAATTTATTTAAATTATACGTGAAATCGTTGTTCTTATCCATATAATCTAAATCGTTCCATTGAGTATCCTGAAAACAAAATATAAGTTAGTTCAAACATGTACATGCGCGTGCACGTCGCATGCGCACACTATATTTGTATATATAAAACGAATATAAATCTTTTAATATCTGAAATACATTACAAATGGAATTCCTGCGGCTATGGTTCTATTCCATACTTCTCTTGTTTTCTCTAAACTTCCATATCCGTATCTGTATGGTTTTGAAATATTATTAGAGAATGTAAAGCATCGTTTTTGCGATAAAATAATATTCATACCTGCATAAATGGAAACCAAGAGACCAATATGGGGGAAGAAAAGGTTTGCCCACTATTGTAGAATATTGTTTTATAACATCTGCCGGACTTGGGCCCAAAAGAAAGTATATATCAAAAATACCCCCTATAGTTCGAAATGTGATAGCGGGTGATGGTTGTAACATCACATCTAAAAGTAACGAACATCATGAAACGTATTTCGATGGATTCAATACGCATCGAACAAAAGGCAAATAACAAGAAATAATTACCCATAGCATTACTGTTAAGAAACAGAACTCCGTGAGATTTTCCAGAATTTTCCATTACTAAATAAAATGGATGAGACCCATACAAATTTCCCTAAATTTAAAAAGAACCACTTTATAAATAAGCACTCGCGCGCGCGCATGTATGTGTGTGTGGAACAGTATTTTACATGAACTGAAACAGTATTTTAAATAAAATCAGCGTACATTTTCTGTCGGTGGTTGATCCCTGTTAAATAATGTAAAAGTTTGCCATTCTGTATTTAATTTTAAACTTGCTCGATGCTCACCGATACCATAAATATTATGAGTCGGCAAAAGGCCGCTTATTTGCAAAAATTGGTCGGCAAATATGAAACCCCCGACACTAATAGAATCGAATCTAAATATTAAAACAATCAATAACATTTACAGATCAGGAACCATAATAATTTTACTATAGTGATTAATTACTGAAATTGAAACTTGAAAACTTAAATGTTTATAAAATATCACTCACATCACTGTATCATCTGATGTCCTCTGTACTTTAAAACCAGGTTTAATGTTATCAATATCAAATTTATATTTTGCATTAACATTTTGTTGAGAAAATGGTTTTGGATTTGTCCTGAGAGGCCATGGTGGTTCATATCTCTTCTTAAGAGGATCATACATTTTTACACGCAGAATAGAATCATCTACAGTGCTGCTTTCTACCTTAATAATTGGTAGATCATTTTTGTAATATGAACTTTTCATTTGCTTGAGAAATCCAGAAAAATCATTTCCTTCTTTGCTGAAATTTTCATACTTGTATATGCTCCAATCTTTTGAGTAATAACAGTATGGATAGTCCAAAGAAGGTTTTGCAATGTAGATTTCTTTGTTAGCAGGATTCCAGCAACAACCTCTGCTTGTGCAACTAAACTTAGATACTCCATCCTCAGGATGACAATCAAAGCGTAATTCCCATGGAATATTATCACACTGTTTGCAATAAATAGTTAAAAATTATTGTATATAATAAGTGAAAATCAGTATAATGATACTACTTCTATATCCTTTTTTTACCACTTTATTTATGTATTCAAGTCAAAGTTGTTTAAAACTTACTTGTATAATATCAGGAATTTTAAATACTGTCTCAACAAATGCTATGTCATATTCAAATTTTCCTTTGTTGGTCAATGTTACAGAAGCATTGATCAATTTGTAATTTATATCTTGCAAACTATCATTGTCTTTGCCAGAAATTATATTTATTTCATATTTTTCAATAATAATGCATTTTCCTTGTCCCATAAACACCACTATGCCACCAAATAAAATAATAAGCATAGCCAATTTCAGAAAATGATATGACAATACATATTTAAAGTATTTAGTTAAATGCACATCTGTTGTTGCAAGCTGTTTTGTTTTCTTAACATCCATCTCTGTTATACTGTTTCATTTGACAGAACGATTTTAATATTTATTTTGATAAGTTTCCTTACTGAAATTGTTAATCCAATATTATAACCGATAAGAAAGAATAATTGTTCTCCTTACCTTAATTGCAACTAAATAAAAACGGTCGATAATTGTTGAATAATTATTTAAGAAGTAATATTCATGCAACTAGTAGAACATAACAATATAAAAAGCTGTTTTATATCACATAACCTTAAGCCGCATATAAAATACGAATGTATTTAAAATAAAATATACATCTTACATTACTCATAAATACTGTGCGTTCGCGAGATGTTGGCTAGTCAGAGTTTACGCGCTCACTCTGTTTCACCTCTCCTACAACCGCACGCATTATCGTTATTGGCTACAAACAGTGACAAAGGACGACGACGAGCTTATTGAGACAAAGTGAAATAGAACGATTCCATAGCACAGGCGCAGCCACTTAATTAATGTGTCAACTATAAAAAGATACAATTTCTTACTTATCTACCGCCACAGGTTCCGAGAGAGTTTCTAAATGAAAAAATTAAATGCGATTTTGCATAAATTTTTTTACCTTGTCAATCCTACGGAAAGGAACTGTCCTCTGAAACGTTCTCTGCTGTATCCATTTTGTTATTATTTCCATCTAATGATAAATCATCTATCATTGCTTCCAAGATACTGTCTTGCTGCCAATATTTTTTTTCTACATCTTCCACATGTTGACATTAGTTTTCCCATGACCTACATGAAATTCCCTCTGTAACATTTTTCGTAATCGTTTCTAATTCTGTATACGATAATGTCGAAGTATTTCTTTCCCTTATTTTTGTTTTTAATTCGGTCCATACTAATTCATTTGTGTTTAATTGACATATGTATGTAAGGTGGCAATCTTAAAACCGGATGTCCATGCAATTTGATCCACTTTATGAGTTTTTTGAGGTCTATTCTGATTTATTAATTCAATTAATTCAAATTTCCTCATATCTTCATATCAAACAGTAACATTTTCGGTATCGAAAAAAATACGTGCGGTTCTTTTTTAAATCGTGAAATCAGGAATAAATTTATGTCTTGCAAGTAAACCCCCAGATTTTTACAAAGAAGGAATATATAAACTTGTAGAACGCTGGAAATAGTTGTAGAAATAAATGGTGACTATTTATCATACAAATAAAATTATTTTCCAAGAAAGTTTTGAATGTTTCAACCTTGACTTAAAATCCGCACGAACTTTTTCCGGTATCTAATATGTCATATATTCCAACCATCGAATCAGCGGTAATATGTAAAATGTAAGGAAATCATTCAATTTCTCAATAGTTTTCACTTTGATTGGGAGACTACGTCAATGCTGTAAAGTCATCATTCTATTTCACTTTGTTTCAATACGCTCGTCATCGTCCTTTGTCACCGGCTGTAGCCAATAACGACAGTGCGTGTGGTAGCAGGAGAGATGGAACAGAGTGAGAACGTACTCTGGCTAGCCAACATCTCATGAACGCACAGTACGTGTTTATGCATATTTCAATGCATTACTCAGATAGTATTATCGGTCATTTTAATTGAACTCATTCTATCACTATAAACACCGCAATACTTAACAATGGAACATGGCAATTCAATTTATTTTTAGTACAATGATTGGCGTATATTCACGACAAATAAGAAATACATACTTCTGAAATTTTCTCAAAATCCTTTTGCACACAAATACTTCAAAGTTGAATACTTAAAATCGAAAAATTGTTTGATTGTATATAAAATGTAAATATAAAAATTTGAATCACTCCATTACCATATGTGCCAATTTACAAATACATTTTATTCTGCAACGAATGTATCATTGCAAAATTTTGAATATATGATAATACACAGCATTATACACACCTACGTAAAATGTGTAGTATGAAAATAACACAAATCCTCCGTTTATTAAATTTATAAAATACATATTTATACTTTCAAGAAATAAAGAAAAACAATTTTTACATTCTTTATACACAGCGTCAATATACATACATTTTTTCTAATATAAAGATCGCAATTTTTTTCACGTCGTGTTAATCTCACAGTGATCTTTCATTTTTTCGCATTTTCCTTTGATTTCTGAAACGCAAAATTGGTTTGTGTAATCTAAAAAGCAGATATAACTTAGACTAGAACTTGTGAAAACTTACTCTGAATAATCTCTTGCAATGTAAGAACAGTTGGTGAATCTGGGATTTCTGTTAGAAAATTCTTACCCTCGTCACAACATCTAGCTAAAAGTGGATCTAGTGGTACAGAACCTAAGAATTCTATACCCAAATCTTTAGCCATTGTTCGGCCACCACCCGTTGTTGCTGGGAATATCTCCGCAGAATTCTATATAAAACGTATATTCATGTAAGCGATAATTAACGATGTTATTCGATCAGGTTGAAACTACTTTCAATACTTGCCTTACATTTAGGACAAACAAAGATACTCATATTTTCAATAACACCTAGGATTGGCACATTAACTTTTCTGCAAAAATCAATCTCTTTTCTCACATCTAATAAAGCAATCTGCTGTGGAGTTGTTACTATTATTGCTCCTGTAATGCCAGCATCTTTAAGATACGAGGTTACTGATAAATGTTCATCTGATGTACCAGGGGGTGTATCCAAAATAAGATAATCCAACATGCCCCAGTCTACTTCTGATAAAAATTGTCTAATCATGCCTAAAAGTATCAGACAATATAATAAAATGTATAAATTTATATGTATAGAAAGTATAAAAAAGGATAACAGTGAAACAAGCACCATTTTTTTTAGGTCCTCTCCATATTACTGCATCACTTGGACTTTCAAGTAAAAATCCAATAGACATTAAGGACAAATTGTCTTCTATGTACTGAAAGAGGTAATAAAATTTCATTAAATGTACTATTCACACTTCACATTGGTTTGTAATTATAAAAGCTTACCACTGGTGACCATCCTGAACCACTTTGATGAACTTGTTCCCCTATTGCACCCAACACTCTCGGTTGAGAGGGACCACAAATATCAATATCTAATACTGCAACCTGTGAAATTTACTTTGTTATATTATCATTTATCCAAATTAATAAACAATAAAATCAAGTTTTACATACTACAACTATTAATACTTGAAACATTAAGGCTTTGAGGTAATCAATAAGGAAATGGTACAGGGTGATACAACATAGATAGGCTTGTAAATGTGTAGGTGCATTCTTTAGAATGGTATACAGTAAACTGTACCTGGTTGCTAGAAATCACTATGTTGGTATGTACATAGAAAACAATATGGACATGCTTGCCACAGGAAGAAAAGTGAGTATTGTTAATGTAAATCAACTTATAAAAATGAAAATATCTTCACAGAAATAGCCAGTAATGTCTTATTGAAAAAAATGAATGCTTTTAACGATTATTTTTCTGTGTTTCTATGTAAAAGTTATACATACATTTATATCAGGATTACTTGCTGCCAAGAATCTGGACACCAATGATGTTATAGTACTTTTACCAACACCACCTTTACCAGATACCACTAATAGCTTATTCTTAACTGTAGAAAGCCTTTCTTTAACAAGACTTATATTAGGATCTGGTTGTTTTGCATCACCAGATGCACATATTGTTTGATTTGGACATCCTGCACATGCAGATGCCTTTCCTGCATCTTGGCTTTCTGTACCAGGGCAATCTGAAAAATATTATTTTTTTGTCATTTTAAAATAACAGGATTTTTTGATACATTGTTTTTTGCTTGAAATGCATAAAAATTCTTAGAGATATAAAAACTAGATAAATATGCTTAGAAATATTATTTATATTTCAAGTTTATAATGCGCTATATTTTGAATATTAACCAAATCTCAAATTTAAAGATGTAACCGATATAACCTCATATATATGAAAGACTAACATTAAATGTATTAATATATCAAAAGCAATTCTTTGCACATTTAAAATCGTAATTATATATAATGATAAAGTATCAAAGAACAAATACTTCGTTGAATATTTTATAAAACAATACTTTTTTATCACACGTGTACTTACGTTGCGGTGCATCGCTAGGTATATCTGCCATGTTGGATTATGACTAATTTTAATTGATAATTCTTCAAATCATCGATAAAAAGACAATCCTTAAAAATAATCTTAATAGACTCCATTATTTACTTTTTGTTGTAACTAGAGTAATAGTAATTTCCATAATTTCTCTACACTATATTATTTTTTATTATGCAAATACATCATTAAATGTACATATACATCATTAAAGGATTTAAATAAGTTGAGATTTCATATTTTCTTTTTATTTAATCGCATTAAAACAATTCTTCTCTTATAATGTATTCTATTTGTGTAAATTTTGCAGCAACCACAATTATGGAGTACAAGTAACTTGAATGGTACATATAACTTAATGCCTTGGCGTCCCAATTTGGAATGTAAAAACGTTCAAATTATGCCTTTGTAAGTTTAGTTGAAACTCATAGTCGCCTTTTTTGTTCATCATTATACAAGAAAAATTGTAAAATAGACATTAATGATTATTCTAGAGCTACAAAGTCATCGCCTAATTATACTTTAGATAACGCGGATACCATAAGTTCATTAAAGTTCCCTAATTTGGTAACGGGATATGAACGCAATCCAGTATATACTTCAGGAATTACTCTTCATACACGATATACACCTAATGAATGGTTTCAGAAACAAGTAGAATATTATAACGAAGCAGATTCCTGTAGACATTTTTCGGAAAGAATAAGAAACGATGCTTTACGAATTATTAGGTAAATATAACATGAATTAAATGACTCGTACAATATATGTAATAATAAATACTTGTAATAGGGACGCAGAAGAGAAGGTGCAAATTGGACAATATGATACTGGTAGAAGACTTGGTGAAAGAATAAACGACGTGAATTTTTGGCGAAACGAAATAGTATCAGAATTGGAAAGATTATTTCAAGAAATCGAAAGACTTCAAGATTGTCGTTTTAATTTGGATAAAGCTATTAAGGATATCGAGGGTCCTTTGCATATTGCAGAGGAGTGTCTTTATCACAGAGAAGCTAGAAAAGGTAAAGCTAATTACTTTCGTAACAAATGTAAATAGGTATATATATTATTCGCGTTCTCATTATTGTCGCACCGAACTTGTACACGACGATTCAGAGAAATGTTTACTGAAAGAGATAGAAACGTTAAATCAAAATAGAAAAAAACTGGAAATTTGTTTGGAGAAATGTAAAAATCAGGTAATATTAAGTTAAACAGAGAAAAACAGAAATGTGAATATTGCTAAAAACCGACCATTTACTCGTAGCTAAGAGATTGCAGAGCATCTCAATGCCAGCTAGAATTAGACTTAAAAAATAAAGAAAATGCATTAGGAATAGATACAATGTGTCATCAATTGAACAATTACAGCCACGGATTACAATATTATTCTGGAATTGAAAAATATGATCCATGGTATCTAAAACACTCAATACTTGTGCAACTTATATTAATGGGTTATTATATGTAAAAATTCACTTTATTTATGTAACCAGCTTTTCAGAACAAGATACATGGATGGATGCTGCTAATCGAATAGTTAAAAAGTCACAGATGGAGAGAAACAAATCTTGTCAATTAAGGGGAAATGCAGAAGCTCTTATGAATAAAATTGCACAAGAAATGTGGGATACATGGAATAATACAAATAATGCTTTGGCACATAGATCTTCTGAATTACTAGAAGCTAAAAATAAACTTCAACAACATTTACAAAAGGTAAGAACAATTTTACGGAATATATTGAAATAACCATAGGATTTTTTTTTATCATTAGGTGCAGCAAGAAATTTTTGACATTGAAAAAAACTTGGAATTGATGCGTAAAGCTATTGCAGATAAAAGTCATGTAATGAAAGTAGCACATACCAGATTGGAAGCTAGAATGCATCGTCCAGATATAGAGCTGTGCCGTGATTACGTTCACACAAGGTTTCTTCTTTCGCGTTTATTTTCATGATAACACGTCGATATAGTTTATTCGTATTAACGTGTTCTGTTTTGATAGCCTCCAAAAAGAAAGTGGTGAAATAAGTAATCAAATAGAAAGAATGTACAGAGCTTTGAAAGAGTTGGAGAATCAACACCAGAAATTATTGAGAACACGAACAATGTTGGAACACGATCTAGCGCTGAAGATCGATGCGATGCACATCGACCGGGAAAAAGTTTCTGGTCTTAGGCGCGCTTATCCGATTAATGTTCTGTTCAAATTTTAATGTTTACCTATAAACAATTATTCCGCATCATTGAATTGCACGTTCAAAGAAATTTAGGCAAAGCAACAGAACAACAATTTCAACTTACAGTGATGAAAGGGGGATACGAAGCATTTTTTTATCCACATATTTCTATCTATTCTTAAAACATTAACATAAATACATTACAATATTCACTCTCTTTTCAAAAAACTTGGTAAAGGAATCTTTATGCCCCCTTTAGCTTCAAAGAATGTGTAAGAAAGTATAATTTCATCTAGATCTTCCATTTTAGGGTCATCAACAATAGCTGGATCGATGTAAAAAAACACTGGCAAGTCAACCTGTAATAATACACACCAAGCTTAAGATACTATTAAACAAGATTATCTACTGTATAGCCTTTAATATAATTTATGTAAGCATGAATAAAAATTAGTGGGATTATTTTGAAGTAGTTCCTGTGAAACTTACTTCTTCGTGTGGATTAAGTTGTTGTTCCTCGAAACAAAAGCATTGAATTTTATGGAAATATTGTGCTGCTTCATATGGAACCACATTATAAGTTGATACACCAGTAATTGGTTTATCCAATGGGTTTTTCGCGGTGAAAAATGCTAAAGCAGTCTCTCCAGGTAGTACTTTTATACAATTTTGTTGAGGTTTGAAATTCCATTGCATCATTGCTCCAGTATCGGCGTTAAATTTGACTTTTATTTCTCTCTCTTTAACGGGAATCATCGAACGCACTTTGTTACTATCGTAAGTGACCGATAGTGTCCCACCATAATTATACGCCTATTAAAGAACGACAACATATATTATTAAATGTAAGAGAAGACTGTTATGCTTAAGACAACAGTATTACCTGGCAAAATACTCTATATAAAGGCACTGAAGCATAAGTCATTCCGAGTACTAAAACACCGAAACCGCTCCAGTAATAACGCGAAGAACGTAACCTTTTCTTGTGGGTAGCATTGTAATATTGATTAAGTAATGTTCGAGACACATTAGTATGTATCTGCCTTGTACAGCAATTCAATATTTTTTGATACATTTTCAGATACATTTTATTCTCCGTTTCATCGATTTAACCTAAAGGTGACTAAAATAAAAGTTGATCATAGTCTATCGCAAAACCGATTTATCGAGTGTAATATATGTTAATTAAAGAAACAGTTTATCGTTACATTTCGTTCGTCGTTATGTAGTGTAATTATATTACATTGCCCGATATTGTGGACACCAGCTGATTAAGGAGGCAACCATGTTACTTTCGCGCGAACACCGCCATCTCTCGAATAGCGCCATCAAAATCTTGAAACTTGAATTGAAATGTAAAGTGATACCGTATAAGTACATGCATATTTTTCTATTTTTAAATGTATATCGATATCGATCCGTTTATATACACAGGTGTATGTCCTATTTTAAGTTGAAACCGAAATTTATACGCTTTATGTAGCTCAACTAGGATCGTTTGAGATATTTCATTGATAGATTGTGCGGCGATAATGTAAGTGAGAAAATCTTTGAAGAAAAATGATGGATGTCCTGAAGCATGGATGTCGTTAGTGTAGGATAACGGACTAGGAATTGTGGTAATTAACCGATGTAATCATAATTAGAATTGGTAATATTTGCACGAATGCATGCGGAACTTGATGAATCAAGTGATTGCGGTGGAGTCGAATGGCCCTCCTTCTCCTCCTTCTCTTTCCCACCTCTTAAGCGTATCGATCGTTGAATTACTCCTAGGAGACCATTGCCTTGTACTAAATCGTATCCAGTTATCGATGCAACGCGAAAGAAACGGCACCGCGCGACACTAAAACGTTCAAGCTTCGATATGTTTTTATATTGCAAAGTGTCTCCTCACAGTGCGTTTCTTTGGTATATGCGTCAGGTGTGAAATCGATAATTCTTGCTGTATATTATTTTCCAAAAGCGAACAGTAGCGTCCGCCTTATTTTTCGAAGGAATCTTTCGACAACTTATACCAAAAAGTAACACCATTGATAATCGACACGTTCGATAGAAGGTAGTTCAAAGAAAAGCAAAAAAAAAAAGAAAAAAACCGAAAAGAATCGAATGTTTATTTCAATTTGCTTTCTTCTTTCTTTCTTGCGCGTTTGAAATATCAGATTGAAATTAAAAGCAGTAGCAGTAAAAATACCTAAGTAAATAAATAACGGTAACCGAACGATATACCGTTGCTCGATCTCTAGTTTGGTTATAAAATTACAAACGCGAATTTACACGAACATTTACACACGAACGAATGAAAAATTGAGTTATGGGCTGGATTTGAAATCCCATGTTGAAGGAGGAAGACGCTTTTAATGGGACGTATAACTTTGGCGTGATGTATCTCTGGTCTGACTATATACAGTTTTATTTCACTGGCGCGCGTGCCACGCGGAACGTTCGCACGCGATTCGATTCGATTCGATTCGATTCGATTCGATTTGATACGATTCGAGTCCCGCGCGATTTTCGCATCACACACACCTGCCGCACTCTCGGTCGCGTTAACAACACTCGGCGCGGGTTCAGAAACGCGAAGTAGATTCATATTCGAGGAGCGTTCGAGAGGAAAGGAAAGAAAAGAGAAAACACGGTGGAAATGATGTGATTGTCGATGTGATACGATAAGCATTACGTTTATAAACGAAAATGGTTTTCGATTCGATTTCCGAAGAGCAGAGGAAACGGTTCTTCAGACAGAATTATGCAGCTCATTTACCTGGGTAAGATTCGATTCGTCACAGACCTCGCAACGACATTATTTTTGTAACGAATATCCGATTACGGTATCGTAATTTAAGAATCGTCCTTCTCTTTCCACCTCAGCTGAAGAAGGTGTTCGAGTTTCCACGCGTAACAACAAACAGTTGCTTTGCCATTGAATGGTATTAATTGTATTTACATTAGTCATCATCGTTAGATATTCTCTGGTAACACCGTTTATTTCTGGTTGCGTAATGTATATACATACACATCTATATGTACACACGAACGAAAGAATGTAAAATCGTTTTTAACCGAACGAAAGTAAGTAAATAGGTAGGCTCATTCGAAGAATGCCTCTTTTTGCTTTTACCATTGTTCCGCGTGCGCTGCTCTCCCTACGGTAATTAAATAACCGTAACGTTCGCTCGATTTGTACCACAGACATGGTTCTCTAGTCGCGTATAATCTCGCTGAACGTAGTTAGATATGTATATATGTACAATTACGCGCCTAATCGTTTCTCATTGAAACCGTATCATCACGCCGCGAGTTTCCTTTCCTCAAGTCTCTGGAACGGTTTAATTAAGCGCGATGCATTGTATCGATCGCGGGTAGTATCTCGCAGGTGTATCGATCGCGGGTGTACAAGAGAAGAAGAGGTAATATCCCGCAAGCAACGAAACTGGTACCGATCCTAGTACCGAGACCGTTTCTATCGTTGATGATTTGATCGCTCGCGCCACGGTTTTCCCGCTCCGTTAAACCACTAAACTGCTAAACGGTGCTTATCGTACCGTCGCGACTATGAGTTTACTTTTGCGCGCAACGATCGATCGATTCCAAGTGCGAAACTTTCGCATCATTCTATGTCTATAACTTGCACCGCGTATTTCACAAGGATGAAAAGTCGATTTAACCGAAAAAGAGAGAGAGAGAGAGAGAGAGAGAGAATTAAGCTGTTCGTTCGATCCTCTCAGGTTTAAACGGGAAACGCGAAGAAGTTATAACAATTAGAGGGGGGAACGGGAGATACGAGAATAATCTCACCTTGTTATTACGATCTATCGTACACACGTATATGTATGCGGTCGGCGGAGCCAGGCAACGATACCTTGACATTGAGCTTGCAATACCGTGCAAGATCGCACGATCGCATCGATGTGTAGACGACTGTGAGAAATGATCTCTCGCTACCGGGAGTATTCGATTGACCGGGGAGTTGTGAGAGTTGAACGGTGCGTTTAATCGGTTCGTCGCGGTTTCGTGACGATCATACACGCTTCGATTCACTGGCTCACCATTACGCTTTTCCGCTGGTGCCTGGCTCCTGTTACGGTTACATTGTACTTTAGAAAGTACCTCGGGAAAGAGAGAGAGACAGAGAAAGAGTACTTTGTTCGATCGTTCGTTCGCGACGACGAAACGGAAATCGCCTGATCGCGTAATCGTCCTTTCCCTTTCCTTCTGAAAAACGAAAAATGTAAGCAGAAAGAGAAGACGAAAGATAGACCAAACGAGAACCCTCTTCTCGACCACCAACACCAAAACACCAACGTATTACACAATTTTTTTGCAGATACACCGGCCACTGTCCTACCCTTAAGTTTCGTGTTGGAAAACGTTTCGGAGCGTGCACCCAAGAAATTATGAAGGTAAGAATGATACACGTTGATTGATTTTTGCGTTAAGGGGGAGGAATAGAAAAAATGTGAGGAGAGAACGAGAAAAGAGAGGGAAACGTAACGTTAACCAAAGCTTCCATGAGAGTGTGTTGAATCATGCAGGAATTACTTGAAAAGAAAATCCTCAAGACAGGACCTTACAGACCCAACTCCGGGAGGGATACGCGGGAAAACGGGTCGATTCTTTGCGAGAAAGACGGTAGCAAAGCTGACTGGAAAAGTGACGCGCATTTGTTCAAACCACCTCCGTATATCTTGGGATATACCGGTAAATAGATTGTGATAGTAGAGAGAGAGAGAGAGAGAAAAAAAACCGGAAACGGAGTTGGAGTTGAAATTGTAGTATCATTTTACAATACGAACGCAATCAATGATACTAGCTTAATCGTTTCGTCGTAGGATATATTCCCGGGTTTAACAGCAAGTACGGTTTGTCTTTTATGAGAGCGGTGGAAGAAGGTGCGAAAGAATGGCGCGAGAATCAAAGTAAATTGAGAGCTCGTAGAGACGTGATGCGAGCCGAAGTCGAAAGGAACAGTGACGCCTCTAGAAACCTCTTGTCCAGAGCAAGAGCCGACAATGTGGCCGTTGAAATCGATCACGATCAGGATCACGATCAGGAAAAATATCGACCAACTACCTTTCGTAAGTATCGTTCTCTTTTGATTCTTTCGACAAATGCTTTCAGAAAGGTGCATCATGCGAGAAAAATAATCCTGAACGGGGAGCAGCTCGTTTTCATCTCGGGTGACTTTTTCACATGACGATAAACAGAAACGGTATTGTTACAGATTATGAAATTTCCCCCGAAAGACCACCGATCGTAGGCTATACGGGTCATATTCCAGGCGCGAAAGGAGAAGTCGCGCTTTCGAAAAGGTACGCTCAAGCCGCGAAGAAAGGATTAGAACTGGTTCGAAAGGAACGTGAACAAAGGCTGGGTAAATTAAGGGACGTGGATACGGTACAGAGAGTTTTCGATGTAGCCCGTTACGATGAAACCGTTCTCGCGCGGGCATAATTTACGAGCCCCTCCATTTCATCCAAAACGTTCTTTAATACGCGCTCAATTAACGACAATCTTTTTTAACAAGAATCTACCAAGTAGAAATAATATTCGATTAAAGATGTAATTTACGTTCGAAATTTACCTTTAATTCCACGCTGCTGTGAATCAACTCGAAATAAAACGACCAACAGCCTTCCTTTTCATTTCCCCCTTTTTTTCTATTTTTTTCTTCTCTTCTTTTCGAGCAAATCGAAAGATTCTTGGAAATGTTTCCAATTGGAAATGTTTTCAAAAGAAAAAACTATGAAACTAAGGACAACGCTATTTCCATTTCCCAACTATCGATGAAACGTTTAGAAGCATTATCTCGTGTCTACGAAATGGAATTTAGCGAACGTGCGAGGCACGCATTCTCTGTGCAGCGAGTTAGCCAAGTAATAAACGCGTATGTTAAATGATCAAATTTTCATTTAGAAATTATTTATTAAGATGCACAAAACAAGAACATAGACTTCCATAGATATGTATAAAGGTATAATAAACGGACACAATTAACGTTACTTTCGATTCAATTAAATTTCTTTTTTCTCTGGTAATCTGTTCAATCTTTCTAGTTCCATTTGAACAGCTTGTTTCCAATATTGTCTAGTTAAAGTATTTGATCCGTACGACAAAGATAACAATCTAGCTAATACCATTAATGAGTGCAGACGATTGGCATTTTTATTTATTTCTTTCAATCGTACGAAATCATTTTGAATTTCCTGAAGGAGATGAAAACAATACGATTGCTATATACATATATACATATACACGTGTCTTATCAGTGGAATATTAAATAGTAGCAAGTACCTTTATGACGTCTTCATCGTTGAACTCGAACTTTACATCTCGCACAACTTCTAAATACTGGCGAATATTTGCCAGTCGATCTTCATCTCTTAAATACTGTTCCGCAATTCCCACTATTTCGGGATAGATATTTTTCGATTCTGAATCTATTTTCAAGACAACTTGGGTTTCACACTGAAATAAACGTATACCGTATATACATGTGTGTTATTTAATCAAATTCATGGAATTGGTTATAGTAATAGTTATCATTCATACGGGAATAAAAGATTTCGCTTCTGATAAAATTAAAACTGGAATATCCGTTTCGTAATCCATTTTATAAAATTTAAAATCGTATGTCACTTTTTGAAAATTGACCAAGTCGCAGAGCGCGTTGTAATTTTCTCGCCCAGCATAGGAAATTTCACCAGTAGTTAATCCTGTTTCGTCTATTACAAGATGAGTATTGTCGCTAAGTTGGAGCACTCCGCTGGTTAGCCTATTACACTCGTAATCTTTCCTGACCAGAAAGTGCCAAATATCTTAACTTGTACCTTTACAAGCCCTCGTATATTTTACAAATTACATTTTAGAAAATCATGATAATGTATTCACTTACTTTGGCGACAAAGTCAAATCGTTCAAGTTTTCCAAAGTAATTTCCAACAAATGACTTTTTTCAGTGAGTAGGATTATAAATTTATACAACTCCTTTGCAAATTCTTTGTATTCGACCATGGGAAAATGTGTTATGTTTAGTGGATATGTACCAAGACAAAGGTAATCTCGTCTCATATAGCTAAAAGCAAAATAATAGTTTTGTCAATGTGTTTCTTTTTTTTTCACCTTTTCCTCTATAAAACGAAAGGCAAATTAAGTATCTTTACATTGATGAAAGTAAATGACAGATCAGATAATCTGCAGCCAGATGATCCCCGAACAGAAGTTGACTTAACATTACACGAAGATCGTATCTTACTAATTCTGCTTTAGACATCATTTGCGGTAGAGTTTTTATATCCTGTTTAATTGAATGGATTATTTTTATAGCGTGTAATCGAGGAACGAGAGAAGTGGGTGGATGGTGAACGTTCATTTCGGCTTCTGTCATGGTCTCGTCGAAATCGTGAACAGTATTTAATAGAGGGTCCAAAGATATGAAACCTATTATTTCAATAATTTCATTTAGTTTTATAGCTGTTTCTTCGTATATCTGTAATTTAATGTATAAAACGGTATGTTACCAAATTTTAAAAATTTATGTACAACTTCAAGATAATTGATATTATTTGAAAAATAAACGTTAGAAACTACTTAATAACCTTCACAATGCAAGCTTTACCATCGTCTATAGGGATTGGAAAATTTAATATGTATTCCTTTGATAATGCACATTGTTTCCTTGTGTCATCTTCTGTAGTATCCATTTTTTCAGCATCCATCTGTGAAACTTTCTCTTTCTTTCTTATTGGCTCCAAATAATTCATAGTCTCACAATTGTTTTCATCTAAACCTCTTTTATGACTACTACTAGTTGCATTTCTACTAGAATAAACTGATTCTTTCTGTCTTTTTTTCACCCAATTGTTTAAACCAGGAATAGATATTACAATGCATGTGTGTCTTTCTGAACTTTTATTTTTCTCCGACTCCACTAAAATCTCTTCATGTGGCTGAGGAAGACAGAACAAAGTCGTTAGTTTTTAAAAAGAATACTTCTTTTCATATATTTCTCAATAGAAATAAAATGTTGTAGGCAGTTTTATACATGAGATAAGCTGTTCTTTATACTTCTCACACCTGGAACTACCATATATATTTTCTATAGGCCCCAGTATCATTTTAAACATCCATGTAATTTAAACATGAACAAAGCATGATACTTTAAAGGGCCATGTAAAATACAACTGTAACAGAATAATTACCAAACATTTAGCAGAGTCTGCATACATCCCACATCTGAGTTCGTGCATTCCACTTTCACTATTTTTTACTTCATATTGTTGAAAATAGTATTCAGGATTGTGCATATCTTGAATCATTCCTTTGAATCTGACTAACTGTTGATCTCGAAAATTATGAAGAGATGCATCATTCAACAAAGGAATTTCCTTTAAGACATCTAAACTTTCCAAAATTAAATTGCAATCTGAACGATTTGCGATAAAATATTCAGGAGTCCAATCGGTTATATTAAGTGGGGCTAAAACAAAGTAAATGCTGCTATTCTCCGTAGTCTTTAATTTTATTTTACGATAATTTGCAGGAAAAGAGGTTTTTAAACCGAATAAAACCGTTTACTTACGAATCATTGTAAATTCATGCATGTATCGATATTTTCAAATATAGTGTGAATTATTAATTAATATTTTAGGAACATCTGTAAAAAAAAACAACGCACATAAAAATATTAATAGAAAGAGCGCGAAAACGTTCTTAAACGAACATGATCGGAAATAATCGATCTTATTCGAACAACATCTTATGCACAAACAAAATATAACACATGTATTCGGCAATAACAGCGTTTCGACTTGGCATGTATGCAGAGCCCTCTTTACGTAGTCACCATTAAATGATAGCTAATATTACCATAGACGAAATATAGAATAGACCTATCATCACAGACGAGATACAGAACAGAACTAACACCATAGACGAGGTACAGTATACACCAAACACCTCATAAAATTTTGTGTCTACCGTTCTGAAATACCGATCGTGTAAAAAATCAGAGTTTTTGTTATGCCCTCTACATTATAAAGCGGCGAATTTAGGAATTACATACAATCCAACCATCAAAGATGGTAAAGTCAACAGATGTAAAAAATCCTTTTTTATGAAATTTACATATAAAGATACATATATATACACGTATATATATTGGATTGCGTGTGTAGAATTGTTCACGATATTTTGACAACAGTAGAACACGCACACGTGATGAATCATCTACTAATAAACGATTATGTTAATTTTTTTGTAATTTCATAGTTACGTTTACCATACGGAAATGGTAAAGGTCTTCTCAGCTCCAAAGCCCCGGATAAAAAGTCCCATAAGATGCAAGGTCTATCCTGTGCGTCGTCTCTGGTAAGAGTAAGTGCGGTGGATTGATTCTATTAGTAATAGCTGATTAGCAGCGGACGTCACAATTTCTACACCTTCCACTTCTAGACTCGAAAGTCCGCCTGAAGCCTTAAGTTTGCTTTGCCGGGCAATATTTCATATATGTATTATTCTAACCTCTTTTACTAGATATAGAAAAAAAAATTGACAATCAAGTTTATCCTTCGAAAAACCATTATTTTAATAATTTTATTGGTCTGTCACTTAATAATAATCTTCGAACAACCTCGTGATTATGACATTAAGGTGCAATAAACCTATTGAAAAGTAACGAATTACTTTATTCAAGTTTAATTATCGATTCCTTCGTAATATGTAAATTCTTCCTAATGGTTCTATAAAAGGTAAAGAGTTTTTCACTTTTTGCAAGCGTACGACGATAATACAAACGAATTTTTCTGTTTATCTTGCGAGTGTTATTTATAAAAATCTACTGTATGCTAGTGATCGATGAACGATATAGACAAAGGAATTCTACCTTATTTAAAAAAAGGTCTCACTCTTTCATTACAATAACTCTAGGCTTTATTAATGTAACCCCCCTTTTTTCTCAAGCAATAAATATTCCATTTCCGTGTACCTTTCATCGGTTAATATCCATTAATATTGCGAAAAATATTCCTTTCTCGATCTTTGCAGAAAGGATCTCTATGGAGATCGCAAAAAATCAGAATCACATTACTTTAAAACAAGCTAATTACAATAATTTATTTCGCCCTGTATAATCCACACACGTCTCATATCGTCCCTTCCTTATCGACCATAAATGTACGACTAATTCTCATTTCTCAATTTATCGTTAATGTGATTCCGATACGTGTCCATATTACAACCCTTTGCAGAATTTTATTTTTTCACATTTCTCACATCAAACAGCGCAAATACTCTTTTCTCATGCTACGATTTTATAAAACGAGAATCAGCACAAAATGTTTCATCGTTATAGTGCAAGCTACATTTTCAGCCATGTAAAATGTATCTCGTAACAGATGAAAGAAAAATGCGAGGAATCGATTAAACACCCTAATCGAACACAATAATATATCAAACATCACGAAACGCTTCTTTTTCACCACACATAAATTAACGATTAAGAAGTTTTCTGTACACGTTGACATGTATCACCTATAAACGTTGAGCCTGACCAAAAATAAAACCTCGAAGGGTTAACCATCCTTCAAAATCAGCTCTCTATGTGTATGCTCGTTCCCATAAAACCTCCCAGAAGACACGTAAATTACAATTTTTTTTCTTCCTCGTCCGCCTCTATAAAGCCGCAAAAATAATAAATCCGCTATATCGTTAATTCTATTTTTAATTAAGTACAAAACACGTTCCTTTAGTACTTGTTGCGTGTTCTACGAGTTCCTGTAGCCTGTTTGAAGCATAAGGAGAAATACGCTAAAACGATTTTTTACATTTTACAGGAGGAGAGACTGACTGCTATGTTTCTTTTTTTATCGTTTTTCTTCCATTCTTTTTCATTCACAGTTTACGACGCGTGTTTCAAAAACGTACGAACTAAAAAAGAAATCGTATCATATTATTCGTCTGGTATTTAGAAATAATAAGTAAGTCAGATGTGTTCTCTTTTAAACACCTTCGACAGAGCCTTTTTTTGCTTGAAAAGAATTCTGTCGTTCGGTAAACCTAACTTCGACGAGTGTCACTTGTCGATTGCTAATATTTACACGGGAATCAATGCCGTAATATGAGTGATATAGGTTGCGTTGAATACATGAAACTACAGTTAACGATTAGAGCAAGTGGAAACTTAAGCCAGTACGGATTTCTCGAGCTTCTGTTGCCTTATACTTACATACGTGTGCATTAAAGGCATGACGGCGTGAAACCACGATCCACGGAAATTAATTATTGGCAGAATTGCTGTAACCCTTTCGCTACAAAGGAAAATTACACCTTAGAATTCCATGAATTTTGGTCATTTCCCTCCCTATTATTATCAGCTTTCTCGATAAATCTATGTATGTATTCTATGGTAGCAAGAGGGTTCGGTTAGAACGATTCTTTGGGTTCCTCAGACAACCTGTTCGCTTTCAAGCAGTCCAACTGCGACTGATTCCTATTTGTATAATACCTAAGCCCTGTATTACTATTTTTGATACTTTGTCACATTTGTTTTTTTTAGAATTCTGAGGAATTGGAAGTAGCAAAAACCGCGAGAAGATAATGTTACGAACTTTTTTCGTTTGCTTTTAAATTGTCTGAACTTTTGGTACTTCCCATTCTCTAAACCGACGTTTAAGAACAACGGTATCCTGAGATTTCAGAACACGCTGACTGTGCGTATGTGTGTCCTTTAATCGGTGATGGAGATCTGAGCAAATCCTATTAACGCTTTGTCGTCTGGCACTTCGTTGGCTGCGTGACCAGAATTCTGAAAAAATTGCAGGTTGCAAATAATCTCTGAATCAATCGTTTTATAGGTTATGATCGTATTTATTGAAAATTTACCAGTGAAAATGTGACTGTCCGTAACTGGCCGGCACTATCTATTAATTTTTGCAAGTTTGCAGCTATAACAACTATATCCTTGCCATCTACCAAGCCTGCACCGACTAATTCCGCCGCAATACCTTCGGCTGAATCCACACCAACAGCGAATTCGAATCTGATATCGTTAAGCTCTCGTTTCTGGTTTCTAAAATTACGAAAAAGCATTTTTATAATTTAAAATTCACACCAGCAAAAAAACTATTTTACAATACACAAGGTTAGGTCAGGAACGTACTGGGACTTGTCTTCGAGGGTGAAATGTGTTTCAGGACGTCTGGAATGATGAAAATCATCGTAAAAGGAAGCTGGAAGTTATTTTCAATGACAAAAAAATGTTTTAAGTACCGTAATCGTAGCACCAAATTTATAGGAACATTTTGCACGGTGGATGGCACGACAATGTGACTTCGTGCCGATTTTACTTGTCCGTAGAATTCGTCTTCTGGCTCCTCCTCGGTGCTAGATGCATTCTCTATCGTATTCACGGGCAAAGCCTCTTTGCCCTCATCGCCACTGGATGCACTACTATCCTCCTCCTCTGAGGACCATACCCATTCCCCTGTGACTGTTCTATGCAGACGACCCGACGTACCAGGTTGTCTCTTCGAGGCCTGGAATAATTTCCAGAATAATAAAACAAATATATCAAATATTAAAAAATTATTATGCTAAAATAACAATTAAATTGTACCTTCTGTACTCGGGTTTCAAGACTAGGACCACAAGCCACTAAAGTTTGTTGTAAGTATTTTTTATCCTTCGCTTTCTTGAAGAATGGATGCTTCAGTAGTTCTGTTGCTGTTGGTCTGAAACATAACCCTCCATTTAATATTTTAATTTCTATTTCTTAATTAAATTTATAGAAAGTTTTCCAGTGAAGTTTACCTTTTTGTTGGGTCTTTTTGCAAACAATCAACGATCATTTTTCGGAATGTCTTGCCATAAGCTTTGTATTGATCTTTGTCATCTGCGGCAGTATCCAAAGTAGGTGGATCATTTTGTAGTGTTAACATGAGCACCTTCATTGGTGGGTACTTGTGATAGGGGGCTGTGCCACTGGCCATTTCAATGGCTGTGATGCCAAGCGACCAAATATCCGCCTTGAAGTCGTAGCCATGGTCCTGCAAAATTATTCACATATCATAATTGATTTTACAACAAAGTCGCCAGACTGGAATGCCAATAGCGAGATTAAATCATGCTCTGTTTGATCAAATGTAACATGCTCTTTGTCTCAATAATTCATAAATTAAAAGACAAATACAATTATTATGCAATTCACATGCTGAGTTAACTAAATGTGTAATAAACGACTCAAAAATAGCATGTTAAGGAACAGAAAATTGGCTTCTAAGCTTGAATTGAAATAAACAAAATTTCAGAACCTATTGAACGAATAAAAGACAAACATATGGGCACAAAAAACGCAGGCTAAGAAGTTGTAATGTTACTTTCCTCTCTCACCTGCTCCATGACCTCAGGCGCCATCCAGCAAGGTGTGCCCACAAACGTGTGCCTGACTTTTTGTCTGCTTAGATCTCGACCTGTTGCCAGCCAGGCACTGACACCAAAGTCAGCTATCTGCACTGTGCCATCTTCTCCTAGTAGGATATTACCGGCTTTTATGTCCCTAATATTATTCTGTTATTAAAATTTGTCTATATATACAAGAAAATCGAGTACATTTACTTTGCACTTCATCAGAAAAACTTAACAACCCTTTTTCTATCATACATTAACATTTCTTTAGGCAGTTTCATGAATTTAACAACAAATTGCTAAGATACCTGTGTATTTGTCCATTACTGTGAAAATACTCCAGTCCTTTGAGCACTTCTCTCAAGACTGTTGCTATTGTAGCTTCATCGAATACTCCATGCTTGCAATTTGTGGTTCTGGTTTTGTGTTTGATGATATCTAGCAGGGATCCACCCTCTAGCAGCCTGAGGACGAGCCAGAGTTCCTCTTTCACCACAAATGATGTGTAATACGTAACCACGTTCTCGTGATTGCAGGAGGACATTGCCTGAATTTCTTTCTGTTCAAAAAAAGAAACATATTTTCTTAATAAAAATTGCTTGTTGAACAATCAAAAAGCTTTGAATAGAGTCTTTATGTTATATTGAGATTGTGATCAATTAAAATAATGACTATTTAATGCTATCTTATCAAAGAGTGTCTTCGATTGTTGTGCAAATGCAGTGAGACCGATTTCCAGCGAACAGGCGATAATTGCGATAATATAAATAGGGTCCATCAATCAGGGTTTCGCTCCATAGTTCAACGCGCGTTATCGGATAATTTTTATAATCGTTCCTCGATGATATTTAAGAGGAAGTCGCTTACCAGAAGCTCGTCCATGCTTGTATTCCATTTTTCCAGGTTTATTCTCTTGATCGCACATTTCTCTTGTCGTGGAATGCAAAACGCTGCGTGTACTACAGCAGTCGCACCAACACCTATCAATTAAATTTAAAAAATATTAACAGTCCTCTGAATTATTTTTTCGTAAGTTACATAAAAATTCTAGACCAGTTAGAAAATTATTTTTCCGGACTTTTATGAACTTTATTGAATACTTGAATGTTTAATCGAGTTCAAAATTGTAAAATATTACAATTTTAATGGGATAAACATTTTTCTGACACGAATCGAACCTTTGAATGATTATGACGTATTGTACGTCACCACCATGTCACATGCCGCTATTATGACGTACGAACACTGACGCAGCATGTAGTTTTGAATTACTTTGCTTCTCCACCAATTTTTAATTAAAAAATTCTTCAAAGAAAAGAATGATTCTAAATAATTCATAAAACAGTTAAACAAATTAAATTTTTCGAACTCTTTAAAGAACGAAATTTCTTGTACAAATATTTTCTTATGAATGAAACGACAAACTTTTTACAAGTACGATATGTTAAAATTTCATGAGTATTGGTATCTACAAATATCTAATCTATGGTCAAACCTATTTTGTCAAATATTTCGATCCCATACTTCGGTTTCCCATATATTACTCCAAAACGTTATATAAAAATTTTAAAGATAGGTTCATCATCATCAATCATTTCCTACCTCCAGAAAATTAAAAGTAAAATTTTAATGAAGGTATAATTATCTATGTAATCAATGATAAAAATTATTTTCTGAATAATTTAAATGTATCATCTTCCATAAATATTTCCAAACGAACAGTCTACTAAATTATACAAAAATCTTAAAGTGACTGATAATTTTCTGTTTTAAGAAAACTTTAATTATCCATTTTACAAACCATGTATTATTTCCTTACCCTTACATTTTCTATTTTTCTAAGCAAACTAACATAACCTATTGTATTCAATCTTCGACACGATTTCCCTGCTTCTAACTTTCCAAGAATTTGTAAAATCGTCCGGAATAAACGTTCACGCTAATTCTATATGCGGCAAGAATCGGTAGATCCGTTTCTCAAGAAAATTAACTAGGTTAGGACGTATCGGACACCGGTATACGTGCGGCCATGGGAGCGAGCAAGACATTGAGCACGTTCCGTAAGTGCGAGAGAGACAACCACATAAACGCGGACGGGGATAATGCGGCAATTCGATCTCCGTCACTCTCAATCGCGAACTAATCGACGCCTCGATATGGTCCACCTCTCGATCTCGATATTTTATGTAACGTTCCGTTACCTAGTCGAGCCGATCTCGTTCTATGTAACGTCAAGAAGCAGAAGCAGCTATTCACAGGGACCGGGTAAGCATGCTCGACGAATAAACTTTTCATGGGAGTTTCATACAAACTTCATGGAAGTTTTTGTCGTTATGGAGTACGAGAGAAACGAAGAAGGGACGTTTACTCACCAATAACCTCTTTGAGCTCGTAGTCATCCTTGGTGTTGGGCCAGCCCTGCACGACCGTGGTGGAGCTCGAGGACGCCATTTTGTTCGCCAGTGCCGTGCCTAAGCGCGCGTGCTTGCTGGTCCCTCGAGCGCCCCGTGCGAGAAATAACACGCTGCTTTTTGAGCGTGTGCCGTTGTTAGTTTTTGACTCACGTGGACCGCGCGGATTGACGTCTGCGCGGTTATGGTCGTTTGTCGCAGGTGCGTCCGCGTTCTTTGGAGGAGTCGGGGCGCGGAATGACTTCTGCCGAAATATCCCCGGGGAACAAGAGGGCAGGACGTCCGGAGAAATTTTCCTACGCAATTAATCAAACTTTCGAAAATTCTTGTATGAATGAGACTTAACGACATCCTTTTTTTTTGTTAGTTTTATAAAAATTTTAAATTATAGAAGATTGAATCTGAATTTTTTAAACAATTAATAAATTTCGTATTTACAGCGTAAATACGTACGTAATTCGAAATAAAGCTTGAGATCGGACTAGCTTGCGTTAAGGCGGAATCGCACAGACAATTCTTGACGATGTATTTATTATGTGTCAATTACAGGTAATCTTGTCAAAATAAATGCATCGACAAGGCGTCGATATAACTTACGAAAGCCTCAATCTGATTCATTAAGTCGATTGGTTTTTCTTCGAGAAACCAACGAGTCGCGCAATAAATTCTAATTCGGGGCAATATGTCACTTTTTCATTTGTAATGCTGTAAACTCACCATACGCATTTTGAAACAATTTTCAAAAATCTTTCTCTTCACATTATAGATGAAAATCGTGTATTAGAAACAAGATACAGTCTAATACCCTACAAAACGCACCCTAAATCGCATAGAAAATGGAGGGAAATTTAAGCGCCACTTTCGCTCCGCGTGGGCAGTACTGCGTTAAGGGGGCAGTTCAATATCTCGAAATTTATTTCTTCTCTTTCTTAATCATGCAGAATAATTATTTACCGTTGTAGTTGAATTTAGTAGTTTTTCATAAAAGCCATAACGGTATTAATTGTCCTACGTACATTACATTATGCAAATGAACAAAAATTGCTTTCCTTTAAAAGGTATGACATAACGAACAGAATTTGATTTAATACTTTACTAGAACAGAACTCTGAAATGATACCCAATTTTCGAACCAAGTTACAGAGCTGCCACCTTAATCAAAATATTTAAGTATATAATCTCTTTGATCCTCTTTGTACATTTCTGTCCCGGGGGTTTACTCACGTAAATTTCCAGTAGTCAGGGATTACGATTTATCCGTCATAAGCAGTGCAGTCTGGTGCGCGGCATTCGCTGCCACTGTCGGATAACAGTTGGAAATATTTTTTTCGGCTGCCGGAGAGAACGAGTGTGTGTGTTACGTGATACGTGACCGCGATATTAAGGTTAATCCCGGTCCGTCTGTCCAAGTTGAATATCCCACCATAAACTCCGTGGACGGCACACGCTCGCCGCGATTAGTAATTGAAGTGCTTTCATCGTTTGTTCGCGCGTATATTGAGAAACGCGTCAAAGCGAGATGGAGAAAGGCGATTGAGGGAGTCGACGAAAAGAGCGGGAAAGGGGGACAGGGATACCAATAGTGACGGAGTCGAAGACAAAGACGAGAAAAGGACGGAGAATCGGAGAGTTTGCGCATTTCCATGAAGAGGAAAGAGAGAAGAAAATGTGTAAATAAAAAAGAAATAATCGTAGGACAAATTGGTGGGAAAAGGAAAACATGACTAATCATCGGTGATAGTATCGAATATGCATTGTACGAGTTATCGATACGTGTCGATAAAAAAATTCAATTAAATTGTCGAGATGTATTGAATTTCAATATTTGTACAGGGATCTATGGCGATGACCTTTACTTTTCAAATGACAGATGATATAATAGACGTTCAAATCCTATGCATGATATAAAAGAGTTAGACAAAAGTAGATAGAATAGTTATTCGGTTCGCGGCTTCTAGCAAAGGTGGTTTTTGAGGAAATAAATAAATAAAGAATTCGTTGAAACATTAATTCACCATGCGAGAAAGATTTATCGCAGTGGCAGGATATGTTGGGCTGGTAAGCATTTACAAAAATGTCCTTATTATTCAAAATCTAATTTCAAATTTTATTAAAAATTTTGAAGACTTGAATTAAAAAATTTCATTTCAAAAATATAAACGTTCCAGTAAATTTAACGCAAAAAAAATCGTTACAATCATAACGTAGACGTTAAAACGCGAAATAATAAATTGGACTGCAAAATGTTTGCGCATATTGAACACGCAACTGTATCCTCCACTTATATAGCACGCTGTCAGCTTTTAAACACGTTAATTATTATCATGGACGTACCACTACGTCATTAAGAAAACTAACGTTGTTTACCATTGAACTATTAGTATGTCTCCATTTGCATCTTGTCTTCATCGTTGTGATTCGCAATAACTTCTTTAAGAAGATGTTAAAACGCCCGTGTTAATTTGCAATGCAAATCGAGATTAAATATAGCGTTTCCACGACTAAATTTATCGCTCCGCGTACAACTTTAACAAGCAAGCGAACAATTATCGTGATTAGCGGAAAACAATTCAAATAATCGCTATGTGAAAACGAAATGAAAATTACTTTCGAGGTTAACGCGCAAAAACCTCGTAAGAAAATCGCAAGAAACTCCTAAAACGGTCTGTAATTTACCACAATTTACTTTACCTAAATTATACTTGTCAATTGGAGCAAGAATAATTTCGATTTTGTTTAAGTTGCAATTTTCCACAAAAATATCATTTTTAATAAATACTATGGATATTGAAAATCAATCTCTCGATAAGGAAAAGTCGTCACGTGATCACGTGTAGCCATCCATCATTATTGATCGAATAGCCGTCAATTATTTTGAATTTTACGCGGCATGATTCGAAACAAATATTTTAAATTGACAATTGAAACGAATTGTGCAGTGACGACGCTCGAAGAAATTCTGATTTACATATACAAAACAAGAACAATAGCGGTACTCACCTATTCCTGCCGAGTACTAAAGTCGTCAAGAACCTGTTGTCTTGGAACTTCAATCGTTCCTCCTCCGTAGATATAGGCGCCGCGGCGCCAAGCGTGCCGGTCTTACGTTGCCTCATGCTGCCCGCAATTCTGTGCACAAAGAAACCTGGATGTTAAACCAGTTGCATGCTGCAGGCGTCGCGCATCAAGCCATGCACAATTGATATCATCCACGAGTAAATACAAGTTGGTTAATTAACAATTAAGGTGACACTTTTTTTAATTAGGTATTAGAATGAGAATGAAAAATTATGAACGTGTAATGAAACGAAGTATAATGAATTGGTTTCTAACCTAACGCTGATTTCAATTTTTAATTTTTTATTCATAACTTTTTTTGCACAAAGAATAATAATTTATGTATTATTAAATATTCTCCCATTATTATTGTTGGGGTTTTATTTCAATGCTTCTGAAGTTTTTGTTCACTTAATTTAATGTTAAATTTTCAGTTTTGTGTTGCTTAATTTTAATGCATTGAATGTATAAAGTGTGCAATGCTTTTCCGGCCAACATATTATTTGCATTCATCCAGAACACTGCCTGAGGTCCCTGGGTTATCAGCGTGTGGAATATTTCTAAATTGGCGGTCAGTCGATTGTCACCTAAATACCTAAATGGAATAATTGGAGCTGGATTGGCCTTACTGGCTATTTTTAGCCAGCATCAAGGGGTAGCCCCTATCATGCTACCTAAAAATAATCTGATAGCGAATGGACCTTTAGGTGTTTTTAGTCTGTAGCTCTGTTCACTTCTAAGAAATTTTTTTCTTTGCTTCTTGCAATAATTATTTCAAACCAAAGTCTAAAGTTTTTTTCTTTTCAAGAATAGAAGAATTCAAACACAGTAAATTGAAAATATGTAAAAAAAAAAAGAACTATAATAAGGCAATTGTATGTAGTTTGAATAATTTAAAAAAATAATTTTCATCTTCTGAATGGCAATTAGGTTTTTGTACGCGTCATTCGCGGTCTGCTAACAGGTTTAAATCCGTCCTCGCGAAAATGTCTTGCCAGCATGATCTAATTGTCTCTTTAAACACACAGAACTCATGTGCATTCCTCCTTTATATAGTTATATATAAGCACCCTGTGTTCAGTAAAATGGAAACTTTTATCATACTGACAAAATTTGTCACCAAATCGTTAATCAAATTTCTTACATATTCTATGGCTGCTAAATTAAGCTTCAAATATTTTCGAACAGCAAACACTTATCGAAAAGGAATTTTTCATGTTAGCAAAATTTATCCTGTGCAAATTATATTACATGTCAGTTCTGACAAGTGTGAATTGAAAGTTGATTGAAAATGATGTACATGTGAATGAAACAGAGTAGAGAAAGGAAAACTCCCGAAGATCAAAAGCGAGATGAACGTAGACGGAGTGTCACGCCGATTATAAGCTTGAATTAAAGTCTCTGTTCTGTTAAGGAAATTAAACTTTTAACCCAAATATGAGGCTCGTGCAACAACTTCTACCACAGACAAGCTTTGAAACAGTTCCATCATAGGAAAACCCAAAGAACAGGGCACAGAATACACTTCAAAAAATGTACCACCATATTTCAACAATTATTTAAACATTTTAAACACCATGATTTACTGCTGTTAGCCTAATGAGATCAATTCATAATTTCTAGTCTTCAAATGTGAAAGAACAACTCTCTAATGCAATTGTCCAAGTCATAATAGCTGGTGCAATGAAGGAAAAATATACATTCCAGTCTTGTAAGAGTGAAAAACAGAATGATTAGACCACTTGCTGGCGCATGTCTGCCAATGTGGAGCAAATAACGTATTGAAACGACGGTAAACACATCACGTAAACTTTTGATGGGATTCTTGGCGCATCCTTGCCACCCTAGAACAAAGAATTTAATTGATTTCCTAAACTAACAAGTCTAATAGCCTCTTTTCTGCTAATCGTTCCCATTTACAAGCCGCGTCCCGTCCACAATTTTCGTGTTCTGAATTGCGAGTCTGAACGCAAAGCCTTGCTTCTACAATTTCTCAACATTCAACAAGTAAAATTGCACAGTTTGTCAATTTAATAATGGCCATTATTTAATTTTGGATACATGCACCATGGAAAAATTAATTTTTACTTGTATTCAATTTTAAAGAAGAACTTTTAATTGATCACAAGTTGATGACATTTATTATTATTTCTTTTTTAAATATTTAACTCTGATGAGATCAAATCAATTATGCAAATGAGGCCAATACGTTTTATAGAGTTCAAGAGAGAGAAGTATCTAGGGCGGTCGTTCACGAGGAATGCCCGTCGAAAGACTGAAAAAAGGTCAACACTTGTCGAGCCCTGTTCTCAATATTATCAAACGGAGCACCTGTTTATGTTTGGTTTTTTCTTTGACATCAGTTACGTGAACGCTCATTCTGCCACATTTCGTTCTATAATTGATGGACCTTCTGTGTTTACTGATGAATTTCAATTCTTGGAAAGCGAGGAAATGGGAAATTGAAAGATCATGACTGATCGAGTCACGTGAATTTATTGAAATGACTTTGCTTCGAGAGCGAGTTAAGTGGTGTGTATGTTTGAACAAACAATTTGATGACTTCGAATTGTCCTTATTCATTTTCTCATCATGTTCTGTGCACTTAATTTCTGATAGATCTCTTTGAAACGCGTAATTAAAATTTTAATATCATTATTAGGGAAATGAAAGGTATTTTTCTGAAGAAATTGAGGATTTTGAGTGGCAAATTACTGAAGTTTTGCCTAACAGAGCTCATCAATGGAACCTTTGCTCGGCCGGTTGAGGGTCAATTGGTTATTAACTCAGACAGCAGTAACGGCTATTAAACCGTTTCATTGTCATGAAAATTGGCGTAAAAAAAAGCGAGGGAATCACGTTCTAGCGTGAATCACTTTCAGAAATCAGAATATTAGAATTCTGAATGATAGTTCAGGCATTGATCTCGCCCATCATAGAGCTTCTTAAATATTCCTCTCCAATTTAAATGAATTCTCTGAATTCTGATGTAATGTTCCTCACAAAACCCGCTTCGCAGAATCTCAACACTCATTTGCAAATCCTAATTTACTCCAATCAGTCTAAAATGTATATTTCTCACCAGTGAACATTTGCAGCCTCTCTGAAATCTCAGTGCAACAATTTCCAAGTATACTACTTTGCCATTTTCTCTGAAAAACAGTGGAGCAAAGCAGAATTTTAAGTAAAAACCTTTACCAATTACATTGTCATCATTGACCATTTGACAAGCAGTCATCACTCAGGGTAACGCTTTATCACAGTCTATCTCTTATCTGCTTATCTCTCACCTGCCGGACGTTGACTTCACGGATCCATTCGCGTACAGGTCGGCTGCCATATCAATCGCGCTGGTCCGCTTGCATCTCTCCCCACTTGCACACGTTTCTTCCAGAAGAAGCTGTCGATTCAACCGGTCTGGCTATTCACTCGTTGTCTGTCGATGTTCAGAGAAAGAAACCAATTCACTGACTCATTCTCACCCAATCCCAAAGCACAATTGTCACCTTGGTCACAACCATCATGTCGACTTATTCAATAATAAGAAATTCTTCTTCTTTCTTATATTTCTTTTAATATTTCTTCACTATACGTGCAGTTTGATTTGATCGAACACGAAATTTCGTTGGACACCGTTGGACTCGTAAGAACGTCACTGCTGGCAGAAACGCAGTCGGATCATCCTGAGTTCGTCGTCGACTGAACTATGTCAGACGGGGGCACTGTCAATTGGATAACTACCTACCACACAGCGACGTGCCACCGCATGGAGAATACGCTTGATAGCGGGCCGAGCTGACGACCTCCCCCTGGCCTCCCCTCCTAAAAGTGTTAATTCGTTTTTAATTTCGTCTGTTCTTACAACGCGCCTGTAGGGCCATTTCTTGACCCCTTGGAGGACTATAACAATTTTCAAATGACATATTAGTTATTTATAAATAACTTTCACAAGAAAAAAAAAGAAGAAATGTATTAGAGTTTTCACTAAATTGAAGAATTTTTTCTGGAAGAATAATTTTTTAAATTCCTTATAATTTTGGTGAAAAAAATTTTTCCTTTTTTCTTCAATTTTTGAATATCAAAATAATCTTGAAATATTTTAAAAATTTCTGTGAATGGAATTTTCAGTGAAATGGAGGATTTTTTTATTTGAATTTTTGACTACAGTGGCGTAGTATTTAAAAGTGTAGGTATTTTAGAGTATGAAAGTTACCTTAAGGTCCCTGTAGGTTATTAATCACGTTTCCAAATTCTCTCTCTGTTTTCGTTAGTCAAATATTATTCCACGGTCAATATAGAAGGCAGAGCTACGGCGATCGGCACGGGGAAGACTAATTTATATTGTACGACGCGAAGCACGTCAGCTCAATCACGATCGACCTTGCTGACCGGTTCGTACACTGTTTTTCGCGGGAGTATCATCGTCTTCAGAGATTCGTCAATATATTATACGCCGATTTCTGACATCACCGTTCAATTGACGGTCACGAGACCGCGTTTGATTAATCTACCTCAAAACTCATTGAACCAATAGAACATTCAATTTCTAACAAACTTCTTCTAAAAAAAGCAAAAATATTCTTAACCCTCTGTAATGCCATGTGATTTGGAAGTTACGCATCCATTTATCTACAGAGTGGCCCGTAAGTGGCTTTACCATTTAAAAATTGAATAACTTTTGTTCTGTTACATCAAACAAATTTTATTCAATTTTTTAATTAAGCGATATTTTATAAATCTCATTTTATTTGTTCATTGTTATGCTATTGCATCATTATCAGTCAATTCTTTTATAATAATTATTCATTCTTGCTTCTCTCATCAAAAATGTGAAACTGTAGTCAATAGTACTGTTTCTTCTAACGAACGAAAAAAAATCAGGTTACTGAGGGTTAAGAAACATTTCTTTTCTAGAAAAGAGGTTGAAGACGACAATACCATGAGTTTTGTGTTGCGTCATCGTTAAAATTCAAGTATCGACGGAGGTCTCAGCCAGCGTTAGAGACCCATCAAACTTGATAAAGCATAAATCGCATGCAGAGGGTTCTGCCAAGTGGGAATGGAAGTGGATTGAATCGGTCGTTTAATAATGTAACTGACAAAACGGCAGAACGATCGTCGATTATTGATAGCTCGCTCTGATCCACTCATATGATGCATAAATCCTCTTATCACATTTATAACTTCACTCTTTCATCGTATAATCCAATAATTCTTTGTAAAAAAAAAAAAAAAAGAAAAAAAAAGAAATACTCATAATTATAGCATAAAGTGTCAAATTACCTCTTTATAATTATTCTCTTTATGATTTATAGCTTGCAACCTTAGCGGTCTTGGGTCAGGAGTCCTATGAACTCTGCAAAAAGTGCAACAGAAGCAACCTTGGCACGCAGGACCCCAGGATCTTTTACAATCCTCATCTACGAGCGCTTCCAACACGAGACGTCTCCTATCTACCTGAAGATTACATCGAGGAGCATGAACAAGACCAACAACGATCTCTTAATCGAGACAATAGAAATTTATTGCCTGTCAGTCGCGCTACATCCGACAAAGAGAAACAAACGGAAAAATGAAGTCTAATGAATGATCTGTACTTTGTAGGAGTACCGTAGCCTATGCAAAATTGTAACGAAAAAAGTACGCCTAGATGATACCGAGTACGAATATCAACCGCCACATTACCACGAGGTCTATTGTAAAAACTACTCTTTGATAGAGAACCTACAACACACTATAAATCGACCCAAGCAGGTAGATTCAAAATAAATACGCCTTTTAGTGATTTTCATGAAATTACCTGCGACATAGAATGGAAGCTTTCTTTGTCTGAACTGCTATAATTGGTGACTTAGGTGTTCTTCGTTTAAATAAAAAATGTGGAATCTGGATAAAAAAAAATAGTAATCAAATTAATGCTATTCATTCATGTATTGTATGCTAATGTAATAGTAATATTCATGTAACTTAATTAATTAGAAGCGCAAAGATTTAATTGAAGTAGTAGGTAGTTTAATATATTTTATATTTGTATGATATGAGTATAAAGTTAATAACATACCTCTCACTAAATGATCATTTTTGCCTCTATTGTCACAGTAAATGTATGATTCTTTCAGGAATGCGTGCAACCCGGTTTTCACTGTGTGCAAAGAAGCAAAACTTTGTTCTTCGTAAGGCGGCGATGGGACAGCGAGTGTTGGGAACCTTTCGTCAAGGAAATTGCCAGCGGCTGTGATTGCATGTGGCCAGTGTCTGCCCTCGGAGATATAACTGATCATTATTAATTTCCATTTAAATGAGACCACAGGTGGAGATCACAGGATTTAAT